TAGGTCCCTATGGGCTCTATGGGTCCCCATGGGTCCCTATGGGCTCTATGGGTCCCCATGGGTCCCTATGGGCTCTATGGGTCCCTATGGGTCCCTATGGGTCCTGACCCCCCCGTTCTCCCCCCAGAGCCCCCCGAGGCCCCCAACGGCGCCTGGTGCCTGGGGGGGGAGGGGCCCCCGGACGCCCCCCCCCAGCGGCTGCGCTGCAGGGGGAACCTGACCCACTGCGCCCTGGCCTGGGGCCCCCCCAGTGCGTGTGGGCGCTATGGGGCGCTATGGGGCGCTATGGGGCTAGGGGAGCTATGGGGCTCTATGGGGCTATGGGGCCTATGGGGCTCTATGGGGCTAGGGGGGCTATAGGGGCCCTATGGGGCTATGGGGGCTATGGGGTGCTATGGGGCTATGGGGGTCTATTGGGATCTATGGGGCTCTATGGGGTCTGTGGGTCTCTATGGGTCCCTATGGGATCTATGGGCCCCAATGGGTCCCTATGGGTCCCTATGGGCTCTGTCAGTCACAGTGGGTCCCAATGGGCTCTGTGGGTCGCTATGGGTCCCCATGGGTCGCTGTGGGATCTGTGGGTCCCCATGGGTTGCTATGGGTCCCTATGGGCTCTGTGGGTCGCTATGGGCTCTGTGGGTCGCTATGGGCCCCAATGGGTCTCTGTGGGTCCCCATGGGTCGCTATGGGTCCCTATGGGCTCTACGGGGTCACTATGGGTCCCACTGGACCCCAATGGGTCCCTATGGCCTCTATGGGTCTCTATGGGTTGCTATGGGTCCCTATGGGCTCTATGGGTCTCTATGGGTCCCCATGGGTCGCTATGGGTCCCGATGGGCTCTATGGGTCCCCATGGGTCGCTATAGGTCCATATGGGTCCCCATGGGTCGCTATGGGTTGCTATGGGATCTATGGGTCGCTAGGGGTCCCTATGGGCTCTATGGGTCGCTATGGGTCCCCATGGGTTGCTATGGGTCTCTATGGGTCCCATTGGTCCCCATGGGTCGCTATGGGTCTCTATGGGTCTCTATGGGTCCCCATGGGTCGCTATGGGTCCCCATGGGTTGCTATGGGACCTATGAGTCCCCATGGGTCGCTGTGGGTTCCCATGGGTTGCTATGGGATCTATGGGTCCCCATGGGTCGCTATGGGTCTCTATGGGTCCCCGTGGGTTGCTATGGGTCCCTATGGGCTCTATGGGTTTCCATGGGTCGCTATGGGTCCCTATGGGCTCTATGGGTCCCTATGGGTTTCTATGGGTCCCCATTGGTCCCCATGGGTCGCTATGGGTCTCTATGGGTCCCCATGGGTCTCTACGGGTTGCATGGGTCGCTATGGGTCTCTATGGGTCTGTATGGGTCTCTATGGGCCCCCATGGGTCTCTATGGGTCCCATGGGTCTCTATGGGTTGCTATAGGTCCCCATGGGTCTCTATGGGTCCCATGGGTCACTATGGGTCCCCATGGGTCTCTATGGGTCCCATGGGTCCCCATGGGTCTCTATGGGTCTCTATGGGCCCCCATGGGTCTCTATGGGTCCCATGGGTCTCTATGGGTTGCTATAGGTCCCCATGGGTCTCTATGGGTCACTATG